CAGGAGACCAGCCCCTCGTTCATCTCTCTCCCTTCCCGCAGTGCTGGAGGACACGGTGGAGGAGCGCGTCATCAGCGAAGAGTACAAGATCTGGAAAAAAAACACCCCCTTCTTGTACGACCTGGTGATGACACACGCTCTGGAGTGGCCCAGTCTCACCGTGCAGTGGCTGCCTGATGTGACCAGGTGAGAGAGGGAATGAGAGGCCTGGAAGGTGCCAGGGAGGCACTGGTTCCCGCAGTGCTGGAGGACACGGTGGAGGAGCGCGTCATCAGCGAAGAGTACAAGATCTGGAAAAAAAACACCCCCTTCTTGTACGACCTGGTGATGACACACGCTCTGGAGTGGCCCAGTCTCACCGTGCAGTGGCTGCCTGATGTGACCAGGTGAGAGAGGGAATGAGAGGCCTGGAAGGTGCCAGGGAGGCACTGGGCTCAGCTGATGATTTGCTTAGTTTGCAAAGCTATGTGCAATTGCTTGTTCCACTCTTCTTTCTGTCTCTTAACCATATCTGTTAAGTAACTTGAGGATAAAAACCATGCAAGAAAAGAATAATTTGGGTTAGACTGCTCTTTGTGAGCTTGTAACACTTTATTTTGCTTATAACTTTAAAAAACCCGTGGGTATGCAGAAGCTCTGGGAGAAGAAGTCACAAGCTGATACTTCACAGAACTCTAGCTTAGCCTTGTAGAAGATGTGAGGTATGAGGAGAGAAATCTTTCTCAATTTATTGATACATAAGAGACCTAACACTCTTCTATAGTTAATTCTGATCAGAGAAATCTATGTACTAAATTAGCTTTTTCTTGAAGACTGTTTTTCCTCATGGATGCTACAGATTACTGTTCTGTAGAAGCTATAGTATCTGTCTCTGATTTTTTTTGTTTGCTTGTTTGTTTTAAGTCTGGACTCACTTAAGAGGATATTGTTCTAAGATTGGTGCTTCACATCTTGGTTCTGTCCCTGGCTCACTGTTAACTTCACATTTTAGTTTTCCTGTTCTTCTACCTCCCCTGAAAATTGTGGGCTCACTGGTTTGTTTCTTAAAGAATTTTGAAGATGGGGATAGATTATGTACCAGCTACTATAGAACTTCAATTGTTGCAGTAACCGCTATGGGCTCCATTGAGGTAGGGTACAAGGACTGGGTCCCTCATGTTGTAAACTGTGTACAGCTAGGTTTTAAAATATCTTACACGTAGAGTTCATGCAATAATCAGAGGATGGTCTCTTTCCTCTTTAAAATTCCACCTTACGTATGTGATGTTATACTTGGTGGTTAGGTGATGACTTAATTTTGTGTACCAGAATATTTGGGGAAGGTGTTGAGAGATGTGAACTAACTAGTGATGGCATGGAGAAAATGAAGTGGGGATTTGAGGGTGTGGAGCCCTTATGAGGAACACTTCTGCTTGCCTCGTATTTTGCAGATTGACTTAATATTCAGTTTAAAATGTGGTATTTCCAATTATCCAGTGTCAAAATATGTAAGCCATTTAAGGCAAGGACTGCCTCTTTGTATGGCACCTGACATGATGGGACACCTGTTCCTGATGCAAGTAAGTGCGTGTGCATTGTGTGTTTTTTGTTTTGTTTCTTTCCCCCTCAAAATGTATGATGATGCCTTGGAAGTGGGGTAGTAATACTTGGTTTCTGGTGCTTTGTGATTGCCCAAATGATTCCTGTTTGCTTGGATTCAGACAGCCTAATTAGTTTGTTGCTTTCAAGAATGCAGAAGTTGCTTGGTGTTGACTGTTCACATTTTTCCTTTCAGAGATAAATGGCAATGCCCATCCGGCCTTTTACGTAGTACTAAATGTTGCATTTAATCACCAGAGGAGAAATTTTATTCTAGTTAGCTAGGATTTGTGCAGTGTTTAAAAATGAGCTTCTAAAATAAAACAATAACTGGTAAAAACTTCTAAAAGAAGTAACTAAAATAGGTTGCCACTTGTCCTCAGTATTTGTGTTTTATAGAAATAGTACTGATTGTTTTCTAAATCAATACTATGCGGCTGCTAGGGGAATTAGAGACAGAAGTAGGTATTAGTTTCACCTTTAACTGCTGTGCAAATTGCAATTGTCCCTTTCAAGCCATAGTGGCAATGTTTACTGACTTGTATTGTCACTCTAGTTTTGCTGGTTGTATCTTTGGCTTGCTTATATCAGAATCTAGCTCAAAGTCTCTTGCAACAAAAGAAAGGAGGTCTTACACGAGTCTCTCTTTTCTAGCTCTCTGAAGAAGTTTGGATCTTGAATGTTATTGATGCTAGCTATCAAACTTCTGGAACTGAGCACGTGATTTTATTCCATGCATTTATTATTCTAAACAGGCCAGAAGGAAAGGATTATGCTCTACACTGGCTGGTTTTGGGAACACACACGTCTGATGAACAGAACCACCTGGTTGTTGCAAGAGTCCAGATTCCCAATGATGATCAGTTTGATGCTTCGCAATATGACAGTGAGAAAGGAGGTGGGCAGCGCATGCATTCTTAGATTATGTTTTAGCAGTGACATTACTAAGTGTTCTGTCCAATGGTATTCTGACTTTCTGTTAAATACTAAAGCTGACATATACTTATCAGCTCACACTAATTCTAGATCGTTAATTCATTAATTGGGACTGAAAAGAGAAAACTTCTTATTTCAGAAGAACTTAGGTAGCATTATGATACATAATCCCTACTAGTATTTCTACTGCCTCTGTCAGTTGTGGTGAAAATTGATAAGCATCTACCTCAAATAGAGGCTAAAGCTCTGAAAGAGTTTGTATCGTAGAGGATTCAAAATATCTAAAGGGTTAATGCTGTTGTGTCACATGGTGCTAGTCTTTCATAGGCTTTATGGTATTATGGTAAGATGCTTATTACTGTTTCTTGGAGTGGGGGAGATGGTATGAAATGCTGTTTTATGTTTAAAATAGTTGATAGGATAAACTGACCTTTTTCTGACAAATGTAGAGTTTGGTGGCTTTGGATCTGTGACCGGCAAAATTGAAACAGAGATTAAAATTAACCATGAAGGTGAAGTAAACCGCGCTCGTTACATGCCGCAGAATCCTTGCATCATTGCTACAAAAACACCATCTGCTGATGTGTTGGTATTTGACTACACTAAACATCCTTCAAAACCAGGTGCGTCAGACTTCTTGAAGTTAAGCAAAATGCCCCTCGTCATTGAGGGGTAAACTGTACAGTTAAACTGTATTTAACTGTAATTGGGCAGAGAGGTGATGGGCTCCAGAATCCGAATAAAACAGCACATATCTTTGCTGACTGCCTGGTCATGCTCAATATCGTAAGAGAGTCTTGGTAGAAGCAGCACTCTGAAGAGACTGATGTATAAAATATAATTATTGCAACAGAAACAAAGTTCTTAAGTGATAATGATGCTCCTATGGATTGATGTGCAGGGTGAAGCTAAATGGAAGGAATTTCTTCTCTTTCAGACCCAAGTGGAGAGTGTAATCCTGATCTTAGATTAAGAGGGCACCAGAAGGAAGGCTATGGCTTATCATGGAACTCAAATTTGAGTGGACATCTTCTCAGCGCATCAGATGATCATGTAAAAACCACATCTTTTCCCCTATTTAAAAAAACCCCAACCAAACAACCGCTTCTAATTTATGCTGTAATAGATAGTACAGAGTAACCGGGTTAGGGTAGCTGTATATTGTTATGTGGGAAAGCTCTCACATACCGTAATTATATTTCTTAACGCTGTCAGTTGACTTTAGGCTGTAATCAACAGCCAGTTCTTTGTAATGTTCTTGTTGAAGTAAGAACAGAATGTTTTTATAGTTGTCTGCTGGAAGAAATTGTTGTATAACAACCCTTTAAACTGGCTTGGGTCTGAGACCATAAATTAGTAAGACTCTCAAAGATCAATTGAACTAATAGCTTACACGTTTCTTTGTGGACTTTAAAAGCGTAAATTGCTTTTGTGACCTTACAGATAATCCTTTGACCTTTAATTTGCAGAAAGCTGATTGATAACTTAGCTCACATCTCATGGCATATTAAGTGTTCCTTTTCAAAAACAGCTGTTTTAGGAGTGTCATCTCTCTGTTTATATGTAGAATGTGATTATTTATTTGAAAAATAATACAGTCAGAGTCTGCATGACAATGGAATATGACTCTTATTTACAGACTGTGTGTTTATGGGATGTAAGTGCTGGACCAAAAGAAGGCAAAATCGTTGATGCAAAAGCAATCTTTACTGGGCACTCTGCAGTAGTAGAAGACGTGGCGTGGCATCTGCTCCATGAATCTCTGTTTGGATCCGTGGCGGATGATCAGAAGCTTATGATGTAAGTTGAGGTTAAGCAGTTTCTGGATAGTGCCTGCTCTGTGCTGTCAGTGGACCAGTCCAGAGCAAGTGGATAAAAAAAAAACCCAAACCTGAATTCTGGAATGATCTCATGTAGGTCTTTAGTGCAACCAACTATAGTAATGCTGCAGAATCACTGAAATATGTGTGTCATTTAATGTATTCACATCAGTTGAAAATAAGATGTAATTAGTATATATGTCAGCTTCCTGGTGTGAACTGCTCACGTACAACAAATAAAATACTGAAAAGCTCTGAAATAAAAACTGTAGCTTCAGACTTAGCTTTAGTAATAGTGTAGTCTCTTCAACTAATGTGTAGTGTAGTGAAAAAGAACCTGTGAAAACTTACATTTGTTCACTTTCGCTCTCTCCTCCCTGCCCCTCACCCTCCCCTAAACCCTTCATTGCCACAGTTGGGACACAAGATCTAATACCACGTCCAAGCCAAGTCATTCTGTAGATGCTCATACAGCCGAGGTCAACTGTCTGTCCTTCAATCCTTACAGCGAGTTCATTCTAGCAACTGGTTCTGCTGACAAGGTTTTTGCTTGTGTATACTTTAAATTCATAAGTATTCTAGATGATGGTTCTATAGCCATTAGAGTAAAACCAATTTCTTGTCACTTCTCCCAGACAGTGGCTCTATGGGATCTTCGAAACTTAAAATTGAAACTCCATTCTTTTGAGTCTCATAAAGATGAAATTTTTCAGGTGGGTAAACTTTTCTCACAAGCTGTAGGGACAAAAACTAGAAGAGTACTGACTTGGACAAGAACATGTAGATTTTCATATGGCGACCAACCATAATAAATAAGTCTGTTAAACATAAAATAGTGAATTTTGGTTCAACAAATACGAAATACAGACAGTACCACGTAGTTTCTTTCTGCCTTTCACCACTTGACTCTGAAGCAAGTAGTCAGCAACTTATTCCTAAAAAGATACTTGGAGTTTGGAAGTACCTTCAGGTAGAAGGTTTCTCTAAAATCTCCGCCTGTAGAGAGGACTTGGGTTCAAATCTAATATTGTGAACTCTGCCTATTTAGTAGGTACAAGTAACAGTGAATTTTAGACAATTAAATTTCATGATATGATAAATCTGTAACAGTGAAATAACATTGGTTGTCCAGTTTGAGAAGCCTTAAGACTTTAAAGCACTCTATTTGAGCTATAGAATATCCCTTGTGCTGGAAGAAACTGATTTATTGAGTATGGATGTTGAAAATTAGTGGCCAGGTGCTAGTACTGGTTATTTAGGATATGCTGAAATTAGTAACTGTTCCAGTCAAGTTGTTTTCTTTCAATAGGTTCACTGGTCTCCTCATAATGAAACAATTCTTGCTTCAAGTGGTACTGATCGTCGGCTTAACGTATGGGATCTAAGGTGAAGAGCAATTCCTTTCTTTTAGTATATATGAACAGATAGTATATTTAAAAAAAAAAAACAAACCTGCAAACCTACTTTATTTGGAAGATGTGATTTGTGATGTTTTCTAGCCTGCCTTGCCTGCTTAATTCAGACCTGGTCTTTTGGGTATACAGTAGAAGCAGCAGGACTTGCATGTTACTACTCTGTGAGGATTTCTTGCTGATAGACTTGTTTTCTGTTGTCTTTAGTAATAAGTGATTTCTGCTTCCATGTGCTTTGCAAGTTAGATTCTATTTCAGTAATGATAACACCATACAGTTGATGTTTTATACCTGAGGCTTATAGTTATTTGACAGTGAGAAAAACCAATAGCAAAAACAAATACTGGAAACAAAGGCTAGGAACTGTTAAGTTAAGCTAATATAGGATGCAATTTTCATTATTAATAAAAAGTATGAACTGCTTTCTTCCAGTAAAATTGGAGAAGAGCAGTCTGCAGAGGATGCAGAAGACGGACCTCCTGAGCTGCTGGTATGCTTTTGGTCAGGTTTCAGTCTGCTGGCACATTACGTGGCCGTATGATGTCTTAGGACTGCTACTAAAACTGCATCACTTCGTAAATCTTTTCACCTCCCTGGTTTTTAATCCATTGCACTAACTTGCAGTAGGCTTCCTCTGTTCAGTTCTGAAGGTAATGATATTTTTTCAAAGCTGTACTGGATGTTATTTACACATCTTTATTGTTGAATATATTTATAGTTTGGCCATGTGCTTGTCAGTACTCTCATAACTAAATGCATGTAAAGCCAAGGCCTCAAATTGTTTATCTTGCGTTAGACAAATTAGGTCCCATATAACTAGCCTGACTGATGTAAAAAGTACAAAGGCTTACGTTTTGTTCTGCTTCCTTAGGGAACAATTAAAAATACTTATACAGTTGCACAGGAAATGAGGAAACCAAACTATAAGTGCTCAGATGATTAGATGAGGTAATGGATATAAAATATGGCCAGATTTCACAGCCCAGCCTTGTGTGAAGTAGCACCATTTTGAGGATGTCAGTCAGCTGTTGCTGTAACAATATGAACTGTCGCCTTAAGTGCTGTTTCGGTGACTGCATCCATGTCCACCAGCAATGAACGGAATGCAATGTTTCACATGCATCTCTACCTCTGTGCTCTGAATCTCTAGTAGCAAGTTTTCCTTCTTGGTGTCATCACCAGCATGATGAGTTTAACTTTGGAATCTTGGGTTTTAACAGATTTCTCTCTAGAGATGAAGTGGCTTACTGAAGCTTCTGGGTTTTTTAACAGTTTATTCATGGAGGACACACTGCCAAAATTTCAGACTTCAGTTGGAATCCTAATGAGCCTTGGGTAATCTGTTCTGTGTCGGAGGACAACATAATGCAGATATGGCAAATGGTGAGTGTCACAACAGCTCTTGAGTTGCTCTGAAGCAAGTTGCATAAATGAAACTGAAATCACTTCTTAGGGCAGCTTGTGCCTTCAGTGACTGAAAGCAGTCTATTCCCCTGTACTTCCACTCTTCGATTGCAGAGTAAGACTTTCAAAAGAAAACAAAGACTAAAACAACCTGAATAAATGCAACTGCTAGCCACTTCTTGACTCCAAGTCTTAGGTACTAGTTAATAGTAAGAATAAATGTGGTAGTTGAGAACTTAAATCTAATACTAGCCAAGACTTATTCTTAGACCCCCACCAACCCTGTGCATGTTGACTATGAAGCAAGATGCCTTCTAACTCTCCAGTTAGCTCATATTATTTTACATTACAGAAATTTGATCAATTATACCCAGGGAAGTGCTTGAGTTGCCATCCCTGGAGATACTTAAAAGATGTGTAGATGTAGTGGTGCTTAGGGATGTGGTTTAGGGGTGGACTTGGCAGTGCTAGGTTAACAGCTGCCCTTGATGATCTTAAAGGTCTTTTCCAACCAAAACGATTCTATGAAATGTGGAATAAAATCAATTGGGAATAACTTAAGTTAAAAAAAATGTGACAGACTTAAATGTCTGTCACAAGTCAGGCTTTCAGTTTTTAATACCTGTTCTTAACTTGTTTTGTGTGCTCAGACTGAGGTTGAGATAAGCCCAAGTAACAAAATGTTCACAGTAAGGAATGAAATAACGAAGGCTTATCCTATTCTATGAAATGTGGAATAAAATCAATTGGGAATAACTTAAGTTAAAAAAAATGTGACAGACTTAAATGTCTGTCACAAGTCAGGCTTTCAGTTTTTAATACCTGTTCTTAACTTGTTTTGTGTGCTCAGACTGAGGTTGAGATAAGCCCAAGTAACAAAATGTTCACAGTAAGGAATGAAATAACGAAGGCTTATCCTGCTGAACCACTGCATGCACCTTCCTAAATTTGACTGCCCTTTAAGGAAAAGCAGGGAGAGGGTCCCTTTAGGGCAGGGGTGATGCCTGTGCCTTCTTGGCATTATGTTTTTTTCTATATAAAGTGTAGAAGATTTGTTTAAGAACTATTGTGTCTACCACTTGTAATATTTTTGTGTCTTTAGGCAGAAAACATTTACAACGATGAAGAACCAGATATAGCAGCAACCGAACTGGAGGGTCAAGGAACATAACTTTTCTTCCTTAAGGAAATACTGAGTGTGACATAGTAATATAATTTGATTACTATATACACTAAAAAACCCCAAAACCCCAAAAACAAATGAAAAAGCCCCCAAAAAACCAACTGAACAAAAAAACCAAAAAACAACCCAACCAGGCAGTGGGCAGAAGCATTACATCAAAATGAGAGTACTCTTAATTGGGCATGGAAAGCTTGTATAGTCATGTTGTCATGGGATACCCTTGGGTATTTGGGCACTTGGAGCAATTGTATACTGTACAGCAATTAGCTTTTAGGGAAAATAAGAATGACCTAATACCTATGTCTATATTTTTAAACAAACTTAGTGGGTTCCTGTAAATAATGGTTAAATCCTCA